CGCAGGTACTACGTGCATGGCGTGTGCCGCCAGGGCAGCCGCTGCCTGTTCTCCCACGACCTGTCCGCGAGCCGCGCAGCCGCCGTCTGCCGCTTCTACCAGAAGGGACAGTGCGCCTACGGCGCGCGCTGCAGGTGAGCGCCCGCGGGTCCCCCCACGGCCCGGCCCGGCGGAGCTGGGCGGGAGCAGTCAGCGAGGGCTGGGCTGGGCCGGGCCGAGCCGAGCTGTGTCCCGCGCTGCAGGGATTTCCGGCCTTCCGGGCCTTGCCGCCTGCCCCCTTGTGCCCTTTCTGCGCCGGGGTGGGCTAAGCCTCCCTCAGAGGCGCTGGTGTTAGCTGCAGCCCAGGCTGTGGATTTTGGCAGGGCTGTGCCAGTACTCCTGCTGGGACCAACGCCGGAGGTTCCTGGCCTTGAGGGAGGGACAAGACCTGCTAGCCAGAGTGATGCCATATTTGGGATCAGGAAGGAATTTTACCCTGTGGTCGGATTGGCCAGAGCTGTGGGGGCTTTTGCCTTCCTCTGTAGCAGGGAATATATACTCAAGAGGCCCTCTGCCCAGGGCCTCTTGAGTATATATTCACAGTATTTCATAGTTGCAGGATGTTGGCTGCCGTGGTTCCCCTGCTTTACCTACAGCAAATCAGGGTGTTAGGTGTGTTGTGTCAGGATTGAGGGTAGTTTTACATAGAGTTTAGATTACGGTTTGTATGGGATGGTTTGGATAGGAATGATCCTGCCTCAAGTGGGGGTTGAACTAGGTGCCTCTGGAGGTCCCTTCAAGCCCTGCTTTTCTATGATTTGATGACTTGCCGTCTTAACTAATATTGACAGAAGCAAAGAGGAACTGGAGCAAATGATACACAGGTACATCACTGGGGGAATGCAGCCCCCATCTTGTCTGAGCAGGTGCTATGAGACGGGACCTCGTACAGGATGTTGGCAGGATTTTCGGTTCCCCCGCCTTGGGAGGAATGGTTTCCCTGACTACTGTCTAGACTAGTGTGGGGGACTGTTGCTACACCAGCGCTTAAAGCTTCATTGGCAGAATGTATGGGCAGGGGGATATGAGAGCGATCCAGTCTGGACTGTCTATGTGGAGTCCAGTAGTTTCCCGAACAATCCCAATTATGCCTTCAACCAGAGTTTAGTCCTTGTAGCACAAACTTTTACTTTGCTTTTTCTTTTTAGATATGATCATACCAGGCTTCCTGCTCCTAGTGGTACAGTGGGCATTGCACCACCCAGCCTCTCTTTACCAGTGCTCCACAGCCCAAACCCTCCATCAGAGCATAGCACACCTGTAATCAAGAGCAAAACATGTGAACCTGGCAAGCGTGAAAAGAAAACACTAGTGCTGAGGGACAGAAGTGAGTTGGAACAGTTACCATGCTTATTGCTGCTGGTAGTTTTATTACTTCCCTTCTTCTCCTTGTCTCTTCCATTTACAGATGCCCAAGCAGATGCAGTTACCTTTGTAACATAATTCTGCAAATGCTTACACCTGTTAACTTTTCCAGGGGGAAACTTTCCTTCTGCTCCATGCATTCCCCAAATGATTCTTCTGTGTCTCCATGTGGTCCTTTCTTGCCATCTTTCAAGAGCAGGGCATGAGCAGAGATTTGTGTAGTGAAGGGGGATTTGGGGTGGTGCCAGGGGATTAGCACTTGGAGGACTGACCCAGTATACTTGAGCACAAGTACTGGGGGAGTCCTGCATTGCCTAATGCTGTAGAATGGGGGTCAAGCTCCCGCTCTCAGCAGTCCTCTATTTCTACTTGCATACCCAGCGTGGTCTCCCCAGGTCCACCATAAATAAACCTTTCCCTTCTCCATATTGCTTTCACTATCCTTTGTGAGGCTGCAATGCTGGGTTATCTTCCTTCTTCCTCTCTCAGCCCTGTACAATTTCCCTACCCTATCAGTGCCCCAGGCCACTTGCTGCTCAGCCTGTCTTGGCGGGGTCTCTGGGCTGAACCTTGATGGATGCTGAAGAAGCTGGGTGGCAGCTTTGGAACAGTGTGTGTGACCAGAACATGATCTGTCTGTCTCCTTTTCCTTTCAGCAATAAAACTCCAGTAAAATTCCTTTTGGGAGTTCATGGTGAAAGAGTGACATAATGGCTGCTGACAGACATGGAAAAAAACCCAAAAAAACAGCACTTGACCAGAAGAAGAAGTGCGTTAGTTGAACTCAGCTCCCCAGTGTCTGTATAGACTGCACACTTCAGTGGGGCTTTTTGGCACTTTTATCTAAGTAATGGCTGATTTAATCAGATATTAGATAAAAGCACCAAAAAGCCCTGCTGAAGCACACAATCTACACAGACATTGGGCAAGCTGGGTCAAATTAATGCAATGTTTCTTCTGGGCATGTGCTGCCAAGCTGTGGGGGTTTTTTTCCATGTCTTAAACAGTCAAATCTGTATGTGCTGCATTTGAGATGTTATGCAAAATCAGAAGTTTCTAGTAATACCAGGTCTTTTATTTACAAAATGTTATTCAGAGGAGAAATTTCCAAACAGTGTCAGGGAAATCTGTTTTGGAGCAATTCTTTGTGGTCACATGAATGCAGTTGGCCCCTGAATTGCCAAGAGAGGGAATCGTGGAGAACAAATTTATTCATTCATTCATTCATTTAGTTGAGAACCAGGAGGATTTTAGCCTTGCTTCAAGTGCAAATATGAAAGCAGTTCAAAATGTGTATGTGCCTGGTATTTTCAGGCTTTGCAGTATATAATTTTGATTGTAAAATGCTGCTGAGTTTAGGCATAGAAGGAGCTATATATGTGGATTCAGCTGGTGAGAGGGCCGTGGTTAAACAACCCTTTAGTTCATCAGGTAGCCTTTGTATTCAAGACAGGTTCCTTTGTGGCTTTTATGCCTTCATGATCATTCAATATATTGTGCTTTTTTTCTTTTAAGATTTACGTAGTTTGAATGAAGAAAAGACGAGACTCAGTGCAGCAAGTGACCTGGCTTGTTGCAGTGACAGAACTGATGATCTGGAAATGAAGCCCCATTCATATCTACAAGCTATTTGCACTGGGCTGGAAGATCCAATGCCTGGAAGTTCCTCTGCTGATGGACAGCAGCTGTGTCCCTATGCAGCTGCTGGGGCGTGCCAGTTCGGTGACCAGTGCCCTTACCTCCATGGAGAGGTGTGTGAGATCTGTGGATTGCAAGTGCTTCATCCCTTCGACCAAGAGCAAAGGAAGGCTCATGAGACGGTAAAGGTTAACAGTATTTTAAGATGACTCTGAAACACCATAAAATTCTTGTTCTAAAAGCCACAACCATTCATTTATTTACAAGGAAACCATGGGGCATTTGAACTCAGGTTTCAAATTTGCTAAGGCAGTGCTAGAGTTACAGCTGTTATAGTCCTGCCACCTGTTCAGCTTTGCCTGTATTGTGTGGCTTCTATCATATAAGTATAATCTTTCTGCACACTTTTTCCATGGTTTTAACTACTAAGTACAGTGTGAATTTTGAAAATTTAATTGAACAAAAATCATGAAACATAAGTTAAATTGTTTGTAGTCTTATTAAGAAAGTCAAACTGGTGATTTCCTGTTTATATCGTTAAATATATTTTGTTTTTACTGCATTTCAGCAGGGGGATTTCATTGCCATCATACTGGAAACCCTGAACATTGAAATCCCAATTGCAGCATGTACTAGCATAAATTTCTGTTGCTCTTTTAATTTAATTCTTTATAAAAGTTGGACTGTCTTTCCTGTTTGATGATTATAGTCACCTCTGGAAGCTCCTAAATTATTTCTCCCAGATCATGCTCACCCGAGACAACCAGCTGTTTGCCCACAGCCACTGAAATGCTGCAGGATGGGTAACTTCCCATCATTGCCAGTCTTGACTGTATTTAAGGGACGTTGGTCCATTTTGCGGCTGCTTGTTTGAGCTATCCAGTCTTAATCCAGCTAAAACTGTAGGCTGTGGTCAGTTTACTTCTGTGTAGACCTCTGTAATTGCTGCTGTCTAATTATGGTGGCACAATAGGTTTTTATCCCCTTGGGTATATGTATTTACATCAGCGTTAAAGATGAGGACTGGGGTGTGGAATAGAGATGAAGGCAAGTAAGTGATGGGCACTGTGGGGGTGGGCAGGGGAAGAGGATAAAAGAGGAGGACACCTAGGACCGGCAAAGGCTGGAGGGAGAAGGGTTAAGAGTGTAAGCAATGAAATACAGGCCTCTCTGGAACCTGGAATCAAACTTGAGGTTCTTGGGTCTCGTAATTGCTCTGCTGATCTCAAATATTGTCAAATGCATTAGCATCTTTCCCCCACTCTGCTGCTGGTCCATAACGGCCATCTTCTGTCAAGTTTTGGATGAACATATACTTGCAGCAGTTTCAAAAGGCAAGCATAAGGCATCAGGTGTTACTCTGCAACTGTTATGTATGCATGATCCTCTAGTGATACAAGTGGATGAGTTGGGGTCAAAGCTGGAGCAGGTTTGCTACACTTGTATTGCCCCAAGTTAATACAGGGGTAACTGCTACACGGTGCATCCACACAAGACTCTTACTGCAGATCTGACCAATTAGCTCCACACTAAAGCACGCATGTGGTGCTATTAGGCTGGAGTAAACAAATTAACTCTGCCCTAGGATAGTACTTCCCAACACAAGTACTGTCTTACAGCGGAGTTATTTACTTCACCACAACGCATGTGTAGATGCTGATCGGGGTTGGCTGGGGCATGAGTGCTACAGCCTGGGGCTGCCTGCTGGCTAGCCGTGCACTGTAGCACCCTTGTGCCCCAGCCAGCCCTTAGCTGCACTGGAGCAGCCCCAGGTTGGCAGGCTGCCCCCCACACCAGGCTCCCTGCCAGCCAGGGCTGCTCCACCGTTCCAACATGCTGTGATTTTTGGGTGCACATGTAAACATTGTGCCTGAGAACAATAAACTCTGGTGTGAATTGTACCAGTTTGTGTCAAATTAATTTCATGTGTAAATGTACTCACAGTGTAACAGCAGCTGCATCTCACAAGTAGCTGGTCTTCCTTCCCTTTTTAAGTTGCTGTCAGTGTACACCCTACCCTCAGTTAACTTGGGTGGCGGAGGCTTGTGTGTTGCTCTGAAGGTTCTGTTTTGCTGTCATTTGGTAAGTGTTACGGAATTTAGGTTTATCAGTGTTTGACTTAAAAAAAAGTTGAATCCCAAAACCACATTAAAATCCAAGGTAAAATCCTGTGTTCTCTTGAGGGCTAGAATAGTTAACAAATGTTGTTTTCTGGCTGTTACATAGAAGTGTATGGACTAAGCCCTCTACAGAAATAGATGTACTCATTTCTTTCTCCTCACAAGCCGGTTTCTAGTTCACATTTGTACAGGGCTGGTATCTTGTAGAGTGATTTTTTTTTTTTTTTTTCTGTCCTGTTTTTGACAGATGTGCATGGCTGCTTTTGAACACGAGATGGAGAAGGCTTTTGCCTTCCAGGCAAGTCAGGATAAGGTATGCAGCATTTGCATGGAGGTGATATATGAGAAACCATCAGCCTCTGAACGGAGGTTTGGAATCCTTTCCAACTGCAGTCATACGTACTGTCTATCCTGCATTCGACAGTGGAGGTGTGCCAAACAGTTTGAGAATCCAATCATAAAGTAAGTGAAGTTCTAACTGGTCACTCTGTTCACTTCTGCAAGTCACATGGTCCCTTCAGTAATCCTTTGAGAGAATAAATTTTATGATCCTACATTTAAAGGTAGCCTTATTTAGATTTGATTCTAGAAAATTCATATTCCAAGGGCCAGGGAATTACAGAACCTTAGATTCAGATGTCATTAGAGAAAATATGATTGGACTGAACTGGCTTTCTTCAGTGGAAACTATATACTTTATTTGCATTTGAAATGTGTACTGTTTTGGTCTGAAGTAGCTGTTTATGGCTAGGAAGTGAGCTATGTCAGTTGTTAATGTGGTGCATACTTTTGTTTCAATTCATTTAAGATCCTGCCCAGAGTGCCGAGTTATATCGGAGTTTGTAATTCCCAGTGTATACTGGGTAGAAGACCAGAATAAGAAAAATGAGCTGATTGAAGCATTTAAGCAAGGAATGGGGTAAGTTTGCAAAATATAAATTTTACATATTTCTTAGATTAAAATGCTGCTGTAAACCAGGATCTTTGATAGTCTCTCAACTATCTTTCTTGTATACTATACAAATAAAACTGGAAAAATATAAACCAATATTCATAGGTAATGAGAGTTGAGAGAACTTATATCTGACTCCAGTCCTCTCTGGGATAGTACCTATAATTTCAGTGGTAATTAAATAGACTTAATGAAAAAAAAATCGTCTTCAAGACTGCAATCTAGACATTTCTCTAGCTTCCATTGGATCATTAATTCTTCAACTTTCAAAATGGGCTGTTGAGGCTATTTAGACTCAGTGGCTAAAACTGCACCCAACTGCCCTTTCCTATTGGATTGTTACTGCTGTCTGGAATATTGCAGTCTTCTGTCATGGGGGATGTTGCATTGCTGATCTGAACTTCAGGTTTCTCCTTTCTATTCTCTCTTCTGTAAAATGGAGCAAAATGTTACAGGATGGTTATAATTAGTTATTGTGTCATGTTTTGAAAATGTAATGGTTTTTACTTGTATTGTGATCTTGAGCAATAAGACATGACTGGTGATCAAAACTACTGAGGTGTGTGATGAACAGGGATCTGGGTTTTCCATTTCCCGTGAGAAAATGGAGTAAACGTCAGATTTTTGTCTTTTACCAGAGGCAAACATGGATTTCTCATTTTACCAGAGAAAACCATAGATTTTGCTGTTTTGCAATGAGCTCCCTGCAGGCTGGCAGAGTTCCAGGCTGCAGGGAGCTTGGAGGGAGCGGGAGGAAGGTGGAAAGACAGGGGGGGCATCATGTGCGTAGGCATGCATGTGGCCCCAAGCAGCCTGCAGAGCAGCTCCAGAAAGCCACTCGGGGGGGAGGGGGGGGGGGGGGGGGGCGGCAGAGGGCCCTGTAGGGAGGAAGCTGGGCAGGTCTGGGGCTGCTGCCCAGGTAGGTGGGGCTTGGGGCCCAGGGCTGCAATGTGTGACTGCAGGGCCCCAGCGGGGAGCAGGATGGGGGCAGGGGAGATCCACATCCCCCAGATCTGTACCTGTGGCAGGCACATACTGCAGGCTTGAGCTCCTGTCCTGCTTCCTTCCCCTGGGGCCTCTGGAGCTGGTGGGCACAACTCAGTGCAGCTGGGGATAGCGGGGCCATGCGGAGATTCCGCACCAGTGTGAGCACCCCCCTGCTGCCCTGGTGACATGCCTTCAGCACCTGCTGCTGCTTTGAGGGGGGAAGTGGGGGCAGGGGGCTGCGGATCCGGTTCCATACCCCTGGCGGCTGGGAGTCCCCTCTGGCAGGGCTGGGGGAGCAGGGGTTGTGGGTGGGGGGCAAGGGGCACCAGCAAGTCTGTGGGGGCTATGGGTGGGGAGTGAGGAGCACCAGCAGGACCAGAGTGGGGCTGTGGAAGGGCCTTTAATTTTAATCCCGGTTTTGGGGGCTTTTAACAGAGAATTTGTGATTTCTTTATCTGGAAAAACCAGGATCCCTGGTGATAAAGGATAAATACTGTTACAGCGGTCTTCCAAAGCCCTCTTTGCCTGGGATGTGTTAATTTCTGCACCTCCCTCAACTCCCAGTGGGAGAGTTGAAACATTGATGTTTTCATCATTTTCCTTGTAAAGGGCGAGGGTAGGGGGAGAGGGAGTCGTTTGGTGGCGGGGGTGGAGTTTTTTTGTGTGTGAGCTGGCAAGTTCTCCTGGCCATTCTGGAAAGCTGTGCTGTTACTGCTTGAAATGCTTGAATTTCCTGGACTGGGTGAGCCCCATTAAGGAATGGATATGTTTACTTGGCACCATCAGCAAACCTATGACATCACTCAGCATTTTAGAAAGCACCTGGTCTCTGCAGCCATGTTATGTAGCAGAAAGGATAGTTAAAAATAGATACTGCTCCCTTTCTGTTAAGAGCTGTCATCCATTTGCGTTCTTCATATTTTGTTTTGTTTTCAGAGAAAAATCATTCAAATGGTTACAATTAAACATTTTAGAACTAAAATACTCTTGCTACTTGAATATAACTCTTATACCCTCTCTTTGTGTCCTCAGTGCTTTGCTGCTGTAAACCCTTTTGAGTTTAAGCTGACTTTGTGTTCCACGTTGAAGCCATACAATTTTAAAATAGCCACAATCTAAACAAAAGGCTGAGGTTATTATGAAGACAATTGGGGAGGCTTAATTAGGATGGTGCAGCCAGGGGGCTCTCTTGGCATTCCACATTTAGAAATACCTTGCAGAGAAGAATTAGAAAACAAAAAGAGGCTTCTATTAAGCACTCAGCTCAAATTAATGTGCTGTATATAGAACTTGTGCCAAAAAGTTTTCTATGACTAGAACTACCAGCAGTGTGTTGAATTTGCTGATGTGGCACTTCATAGAATGAAAGAACTCCTTCATGAAGTGTTCATTAAAGAACCAGAGTTTAAGAGAACCCAGTGTAACATGCTTTGACTACCTGTGCCAACTCTATGGGCTTCCTTTTTTCAAATGTATGTTTAAAGTGTCAGAATAAAAGGAAAGCAAAAACTGAACTGAGCTTCAGAATCCCAGAAATCTGATACAGGCATCCTGCATCTTGCGTTCATTTAACTTGCGCAAATTCAACTATATGCGGGTGGGGATGGGGGGCGGGCGGCTTGAGTCTGCATGCGGCGCTGCCACTTACCTGGAGGCCTGACCACCACCGCGCTGCCAGCGGTGACTGCCTCTGCCTCGTGTCGGCCTCGCCCCCAAAACCCCCCCGCCACCACCATAGAGCCATGCCCGGAGCTGTGTGGCTGGCCGCCGGGCGTGGTGGTGGCCGGGTGGCACGCAGCCATCCCCCCACCACCCTGCGCTGCGCCACTGCTGCTGGCTGTACAGCTCTAAGCGCGGCTCCGCAGTGGAGGCGGGAGGTTTTGGAGGCAGAGAGGCAGTCACCGCTGGTATGGTAATATGCAATTTCACTGTACGCGATTTTCGCCTTTATGCGCTGCCTTTAGAACGTAACCCCCGCGTAAGATGCGGGATGCCTGTACTTACAAATGCCATAAAACTAAGATCAGAAAATATAAGAGAATTAATTAACAGAAAGCATTTGGATTTATCCTCTTAGAAACTATTTTCTACAAAAATATTTAGTTAAAGACTTGCAGCAAGCTTGGTATAGTAATAAAGGTTTGTTTTAGATTTGGATGAAAGCACCATTACTGCAACTCTGCCAACTTGATCTTAAATATCAAGTTTGATATTCAACTTTGATATATTATATACAGATACTTGGGTATATGAAGTAATTGAAGCCTTAATTTAGGAAGCATTTTACATCCAGTGTTTGGTTTTAAAGCGCATGATTTTGTCATTCTTTTATTGAGTTCTAGATGGTAGCTCCTGTGTTTGCTTCAGCAAAATGCCTCACTTTGGATTCTGACTTGCATTTTCAAAGCACTGATCACCTTAGCACTGGAATATCAAACACACCAGTTGCCCATGGTATACAAACAACAGGTTGGCCGCTACTAATATAAATGTTACATTGAACAGTTTGGAGTAAGAAATCTATGCCATGGAAATCGCGTTGGTAGACTTCCTATAGATGACCAGTAAGTTTCTGATTTTGACTCTCAACCTTTTTTACAGGGAAGTAATTCTTTTTTCCAGAAAATACATTCAGTAAGCAAAAGTAGAAAGCTTTTTAGAACTTGAATCAGCAAAGCTGACAGAAATATTTCCTTTGACAAATATATGTGTAGTTTCACAGAACTGTCCAGAAAGGACAGACTGGAATCCCTCTCTCTGTCTATGGTGGAGCTGAGGGGGTGAGAATGGGCCTCCAGACAGGCAGAGTTAAGGCTGGGGCTGATTGTTCATGATGTGTGATTATTTTGCTGATTTGTTTCAAGGTGAGGGATGTCCTGTTGCTAGCCCTAGCAAAGGGGTGGGCAAAATAAGGCTTGTGGCGGGTCTTTGTCTGACCCATGGCGGGTCCCTTGGTTCCGCCTGGCCCAGGCACCGTCGAGCCGTGTTGCATCCTGCTGCCCCATGGGCACACAGCAGGGCTGGGGCAGCTCTGCAGCTGGACTGCCTTTCTAGGCAGTCCAAGTGGCAGTGTCTCCTGGCTGCCACTGGTGGCCTCAGCCCCACAGTACCAGTGGAGACCCAAGCTGCACAGCTCCCATCCCACATGCCCTGCGCCTGCTCCAGGCTCACCTGTCCAGGCTGAGCAGCGATGGCACAGTACAGAAGCTGTTACTCAGCATGGGGGGGAAAAGTGGCCCCAACCCCTCACTGTTGCTGGCCATTCCTTCTGTACTTGCCAGGAGCCTGCACCCAGGCTGTTCTGCACTGCCACCGCTGTCCGACTGGGCAGCTCAGAGGTGGCAGTGACAGTGGCATAGATGCAGAGCAGTCCAGTGCAGCATGGACTCCAAGCGGCTGCAGCAGGAACGGCAGGCATCAGCAAGGGGGAGGGGCCACTTTTCCTCCGCACTGAGCAACAGCATCTGTTCCATGCCGCTGCTGCTCAGCCTGGACAGGCGAGTCTGGAGCAGGAGCAGGGCCGGAGCTGCGCACCACGGGTTCCCGCTGGTACCGTAGAGGTGGGGCCAGTGGTGTCGGCAGCTGGAAGGAGCTGCTGCCACCTGGGTTCCCTAGGAAGGCAGTCCAGCTGCAGAGGTGCCCAGCCCTGCTGTGTGGGTGGGCAGCACAAAGCAGCCACAGGGCACATCAGGTCGGGGCTGTGCCCAGGTTCCGGCTGATCCGCTCCAGTAGTGGTGGATCCAGAGTGAGCGGGGGGGGGCTGGGGTTGCATTCTGTTGGTGGTGGCAAGGGGGTGCAGCAAGGTACATGGGCTCCAGGCTGTTGTGAAGAGGGGACAGGTGCTGACCTGCACAGGGGGACGCACGTGCAGGGGGCTCCCATGTACACCCCACTGTACCTGCAAACCACACCCTTCCCCACGTGCAATCACACACCCCACAAACACTGTACCCTCCACACACCCCCACATGCCCCCCCTC